CACAGCAGTGGTAGTTCCCGCATACGCGTGGTTGACAGCAGCAGCCAATCTCCCACCACAGCAATCTCGCCACAGCAGCAGCACTCTCCCACCTTCAGGTGTACGTCATCAACCACACCTCGCCGAGCGAGACGCCGTTGATGGGCGACGGCGCGCCGGCCTCGCTCCTCTACCGCTTCGGCGCGGGCCGCTTCGGCGAGCAGTACGACGTGCGCGTGCTCTCCTGCGAGGACGGCCTCTGCTTCACAGTCTTCAACAACGGGCGGTACGAGAAGAGTGGCTGTTCGTTCGACGGGAACGGAGTGCAGGAGACGGACTGCAGCAGCGAGGTGCTGCTCACGACGCTGCCCCTCGCGGTCCTCGACCCCAGCCAGGCGACGCCCTACGCGTCCGAGGTGTTGGTGCAGACGCTCTTCAATGCGAGCACGCTGCCGGACGGCCTGCTGGGCGACGGCTCCGGCAAGTTCCTGCGGCTCACCAACGGCAGCGACGTGCGGGAGCTGGACCCCTTCTTCAGCCTCGTCCTGGGGAGTGCGCAGCTCGTCGGAGAGCCCTTCACGAATGGGTCGTACCTCTCGGTGATGGTCGGCACGACCGGGACTCTGTTCGAGGCGTACTGGGACGCGTCTGGCCTCGCCTACTCGGACGTGCGCCTCGTGTGGCAGGTGCCAGGGGCGAACCCGCTCGGCCCAGGCAAGCCGGGCGAAGGCAAGGCGCCAACCATCCTCGAGAATTGCGAGCTCCCCGGCCTCCAGTCCCTGTCGGGCAATAACACGGGCTGGACGACGAGGGCGTTCACCGCGCAACGGTACAAGGACGACTACTGCGGCCCCAGGTGAGAAGCGGGAGCTTTTCAAGACGGCGGTTTTTCTTTCGTAAAAAACCCCGGAGGTTGTTGGTGTACCTGTGTTAGTGCCATGCCCCTTTTCTTTCGTTGTTTTTAATTCTTTGAGAGCGCCTTCGTTGTTAATAATAGTACAGACGGACACCGACGGTTATCTCCTGTACGGGGTGTGGACCGTGAGTTGACCAGGGGTTGTGCGCCTTGCCCTCCTGCTCGGCTCCAGCCAGTAGACAAGTCTTGTCACTAACAGAGTAGAAGGATCTGACCTCGGGGCCGATGTGATCAAGCGCTGGTAGCGTGGTTTTACCTCACACCCATGGTCTCACAGTGTGCCGGCAGTCGCCGAGCAGTGTCGCTCACACATGCCGCAGCACAAGTGACTGAGGGCCAGTGAGGGCGAGCCCATCGCTGTCACAGCTGTGGTAGCCGCACAGTAGGCTGTGTCAACTGTGCAGAGCGTGTGAGCAGCCGAGGAGCTGCTCTCCAGGCTTCTGACGCAAAGAGCTGCATGCCATCGAAGGCGCTGTCGAGGTTCGCCGAGCGCGGCGCAGGTTGGAGGACACCGTCACCGACGAGCGCGTTGGAGTATTCACTCCGGACAAAGACGGCTACACGCACACGAGCCGCGGTCGTGTAGCCGTCATAGCGGCGAGGCGCGGGACCGTCTGTGGCGAAGTGGGTCGCGTCCTCCGATTTCCTCAACTCACGGTCCGCTCCCTCTAGCCGCACGACACGCACACACCCACACCGCACCGCACTCCGCGCCCGCGCGCCCCCCCGCCCCGCCTAGGTTGGAAGGAGATGGGGAGATGGAACAGCCCGAGGAAAGGAGGAGACGTATGGGAGGTTGAATTTGTGCACCACACTGCCCGGCGTTTCTCACTTTCCGGGACAGTCAGCCCCGCCCTTGTGAGGCAGGAAAGTGGCGGCTACCCCGTACGCCCAGCCTGCTACGACCCCCTCGCCGACCGTCCAGACCCCCCCCCTTCCCCTTCTCCAACCCCGACGAGCCGACGAATGGTTGAGCCACCGACCTTGCGCACCCCCGCCCTTCGCCACCCCTCACTGACACCGCACCCCCCCGACACGCACATACAAGACAAACCCGGCGTTCTGCTCTCAAAAGAAAAAAATGGGAAGGAGGAGACCGGCGGGGGAGACTCCCCGCCTATGCAACACCCCTGAGAGGGGCTGCCATCGCCGAAGCTGTGCCTAAGCATAACTCCCAAACCCGCAGCGGCCCGGGGGGCCTTGGGGGCAGCCCGCCGGACCGCTGTTGCACGGGGCTGAGCACCAGAAGATGAGTGTAGTTGGTAGATTGGGCTGCCGACCGTGCTTCCCCTCTTTGCATCAGAGTGGGACCTACGCCGCGCCGGGTAGGGGGCGCGCCCGGTCCTCGACGGAGCCGCGCGCCCCGAGCGACCCAGGCGGCGAGTAGTCGCCCTCGAACCTTCGGCATGTAGTAGTCCGTGGTTAGCGCCCGCCACCCCCCTGCCCGTCCCTACTCGAACTGATTTAATTCTTTGTGCGGGGAGAGCGGCATTGAGAGAGAATCTTAGCAATACCAAACAACTCTAACACAACTCACACGTCATTTGGGGCCTGGAGCCCTGTTCACGCGCGCGCGAGACGTGCGCAGACAGGGTTGCCAGGTGAGAGCGAATGGCGCGGTTCACGCCTCGCACAACAGAGAGAGAGATGCGCTCTGCATGGTGGGACATAAAAGAGAGCGAGTACTTGGGCGAGTAGGCCGTGCGCTCAACGCTGCCGCGCGCGACTTTGCGTGCGAGGCGGCGCAGCTTGAGAACGGCGGTGGGTGGGCGAGAAGCCGCCGCCGAACGTCTCGTGGAGCAGCAGGTTGAAGTTGTTGCGCTTGACAAAGATCGCGTCGTGGTAGAAACCGCGATGCGCCTTGACGTAGCCGTGGCCGGTCTTGTGGGAGAAGGGTTGGCCGGGCTGCCCGCGCGCCTTGCAGCCCATGTTCAGGCGGCGGGCCTTCTCCTCGGTGTTGCCGAAGGCGTAGGAGTGGCCAACGGAGGCGGGTGTGCCGCCACTCGAGGCGTTGCCAACGCCCGTCGAGGAGGTCTTGAGGAGGGGCGTCCAGAGCTTGATTTCATTTAGAGCGTACTTCATCGCATCCTCCCGCGTCCCGGCCCAGCGTGCCTCGCAGCGTGGGGTTCTGCGAGGTCGACCTTGTACCCCTCGTTGTACTGCGGACCCCCCGGTGAGCTCTGGTTTCTCCTTCGTCCTTGTCACCGCGGGGCAATAGAAGTATTTCTTTTGTCTTAGCACGACACTGGGGGCGCACAAGGGCACTAATGATCCACGCCGCGCATTAGGGCCTGAGGCGTGAGTTCACTATAGCACCAGGCACGAACTAGAGAGGTTCGCCCGATCATATCTGTGAGTTCACTATACAATAGCACCAGGGAGGCCCTGCGTCTGACCTTTGGGCGGCAACTAGGCGCCCCCTTGCGCAGGCTCATGCAATGGTGGCGCAATTCTCTCTCAGCTCTCTCTCTCCCCAGATCTCCCCAGATCTCCCCAGATCTCGTGCACTCCCGTGGTGCGCTGAATGCTCGGCACGAGACCCATCTCTCTCTCCACCTCCGCCCTGCGTCTGACCTTTGGGCGGCAACTAGGCGCCCTTGCGCAGGCTCATGCACAATGGTTGGCATGAGGCTCGACACTCTACGACTCCACGAGGAAGACGTCGCGGCCGAGTACGACCGCCCGCTTGCGCGTTGGCGTGTCGGGCACTTCGTAAATCTTGGTGGTCTTGACGCGCTGCAGCGGCGTGGTGCACTGCTCGCCGGCCGGCGGCGGCACCGTCGGGGGCAGTGTTGGAGGTGGTGGTAGAGGCGGCGGTGGTGGTGGCAACGGCGGCGGCGGCGGCACCGACGGGGGTGGGGGCGGGAAGGGCGGCGGAGAGGGTGGTGGCGGCGCGGGCGCCTTGCCAGGTGCGTAGGGCGGCGGCGGCGGCGACGGCGGCGGCGACGGCGGCAACGGCGATGACGGCGGCGACGGCGGCGACGGCGGCGAGAATGGCGGCGGCAAGGGCGGAGGCGACGGCGGCGGCGGCGACGGCGGCGGCGACGGCGGCGGCGTGGGCGCGTTGTTGGGTGGGTAGGGCGGCGGCGACGGCGGCGGCATCTCGCACACGAAACCAGACGACTGCTCGCAGAACCCTCTGCCCTTGTCCTCGCAGAGCTGGTAGATTCTGCCGAAGCTCTCGAAGTAGCTGTCGCAGTTGCCGCCTGGGGGCCAGATCGAGAGGCAGCCTCCCTGCTTCCTGTTGCGACCGACCAGGTCGGTGCACGCCGGCGGAGGCGACGGCGGAGTGCACCACGAAGGGCACTCGGAGGTGCACTCCTCGCCGTTCCAGACCTCGGGTGTGGTGCCGTTCCACACGGGGGGGAAGTTGCAATCCTCGCATTTACGAGGTGGCGGCGACGGCGGAGGGAACGGTGGCGGCGACGGCGGCGGCGGCGACGGCGGGGGCGGCGACGGCGGTGGAGGCGACGGCGGCGGCGGGCTCGGAGGCGGCGGAGAGGGCGGCGGCGACGGCGGCGGCGGAGACGGCGGCGGCGGCGACGGCGGCGGAGGGGATGGCGGCGGCGGCGACGGCGGGGGCGGGGATGGCGGCGGAGGCGACGGCGGCGGCGGGCTCGGCGGCGGCGGAGAGGGCGGGGGCGCATTGCATTCTTCATAACAGTCACGGACTATCGTCTCGAGGCGGCATCCCCCCTCCTTGCAAGCCTTTTCCTGCGCACACAGCACCAGATGGTGTGAGTTTGCCCGCTCTTGTGTGTGTCTGGGAGTGCGACCGGAGAGACGCTGTGCCGCCGCGCGGGCGGGGTGTGAGTGCGGCTGTGCGGGTGCGCTAGGGATGAGGCGCGCCACGTCGTCGAGGGAGGGATCTGGCCTCGGGCACGTCACGGCATCCTTGGGCTTGGGCACGCATTGACCGCTCGTGTCCAACTCGCAGTTGACGTAGACTCCGTCGCCGCACTTCTGGTCCGGGGTCGTGGCATTCGTGGCAGTCGTGGCATTGCTACAGACGGCCGGATCCGGGGAGTACTTGCAAGCTGCCCAGCTGAGGCTGGTCTCGATGGGATACAACCGTGTATAGACGTCGTCCGCGAAGTAGCTCTTCCTACCCATCCATGGCTCGATACCGGGGCCCTCGTCTGAGGAGCCGCGGCAGTAGTCATTCTGCTTCGCGAATGCGCGCGCTTCTGCGACGGCGCGAGGGGTACAGGGCGGGGGGTGAGAGTGGCGGCCGTTGATCACTCCGCGTGTGTGTGGCGCGGGGTCGTTGGTAGTGGTCGGGCGGGCAGTGGCGCTCAAGCCTGGCT